AAAWWAAMYWAAAWWAMMAWWAAAAAAAAGAAAGTTGCACAATTTTTTTTTTGGGTTAACGAAACAATTTTTGTCCCAATAACAATTTAATCTCTAATCTAAACTTTAGTGTGTGACTATTTAATCACCATACTTTCAAATTGATAACTATTTAATCCCTAAACTTTGGTACGTAACAATTTAACTATTATAATCTAAATTTTGTAACAATATAGTCTCTACCATGAAAAATCTGTATCAGTTTTTTTATATAACGATTTAGTCTTTGTAATTTATTATGGGTGATGATCAGTCGATCTGCGTCGATTTTGGGCTCCAACTGATGCCGATCATCAACAAGTTGATTTTCATTAGTCGGAACTCGTCGGTTTTAGAAGGCTCTACAACACTCCGATCACCTTGAATATACTAGCTAGCAGTTGATTAGTTTTGGTCAGTTTAGAGATAAAATAGTGAGAGAAGAGAAAAAAAGGAGAGAAAGGGAAAGAATAGTAGAGACGGAGGAGGGGAAAAAAGAGACGTTGAAAACTACAGAGAAGGGAAAAAAAAGAAATGATGGGGAAACCATCATTTTGTAGTTTCTGTCTAACATATTCGGTCGAAAATAACATATTTGACTAAACCAATAGAAAACGACTCTGACCGATTTATTTATCAAATCCATATATTTAATTCTTCATCAGTTTATCCATCTACATATAYTAGATTAGAAACTCTATTAAATCTTAACAATATTTTTCAGGATAAAAATTWAATCGTTATAAACTTTGTACTTAAATTAAAACATTGAAGTTAGATACAAAATTATTGGCAATTTAAGTATATGAACTAAATTATTATAGACTAAAGTAGTAAATCAATATTTCAACCAAAATATAGGAGCAAAGGAGTATTTTTCAGACTTGCTAAAAACAGTGAGATGGACTCTTGTTCTTGGGGCCTGGGGGTTGTGATGGGCCTTTTTTCTGTTTGGGCCTTCTCTCCCACGTGGATATGGTGTGGAGGGCCCAAAAAAAGCAAGAATCTTGAATGGGAATTTTGGATCTGGAGTGAGGGTACTCCCGTAATTTACTTCTCTTCTACGGGATAGAGTTGAGTCGAATCGAGCAAAGGYCCCAACTGGAAGCTCCAATTTCCAAGTAAAAGAAAAACTTTTTCCTTCCTGTTTTCTGTTGCATGATTCATGAACGCACCCCAAAGCGTTCTCTTTGCCATCTTGAAACTCAAATTGCTGCTCCATTTTCCATTTGCTGCATCTTTTCTTTATGTTCAAGCAGTAATTCTAATTGGGTCTGCGGATAAATGGCGGGTGATGAAACCAGATCGGTTTTCGATTGGGAAAACTTCCCGTCCTCGAATTCCTCTGTGTCTCCTTCCGCATCTCGACTGCGGAAAATCGAATTGAAAGAATGGTCAATGGTGGTGATCACCGATTCTCGTCCGAATAATGATTTCTCCGTCTTCCCACCTTCAAATCACGAGAATCTGCACTGCCCATCGAATGAAGAAGACGAACGAGGAAGCCCAGTTTCGTTTCAATCGAGTTCGCCATCAACGTCGTTTAGGTCGTCCCAGTCATCGTCATCGTTCTCATCTTTCTCATTTTCTGATGACGAGACTTCACACTCACATTCACCGAAGCCATCTGATTGTCAAATTCGAAAATCCATGGCGGCCTCTAGGTGGATGGTATATGGGGTTCAGATTCTGCGCGCGAGGATTACTGCAATGGCTTCCACAATTTGGTCCAATACCGCGCGTAGAACGGCTTTTTGGGTGTTTTCCCCTGCCGGAAGGATTGCGTTAGTCGTGACTCTCTGGTGGCTGTACAAGAGGGCTCGTCAGCGGCGTCTGCGTCAAAGTTCCGAGCAATTAAGGATGATAATCAAGGAGAAAGACAAGGTTTGTCAATTACTGATCTCCAAGTSTTCGTGATAATGCTTCTTCGAGTTTTGAAGCCCTTAGATTCCGCAAAATGCTTTTCATAACACCACATTATATTTACAAATTCAGAACAACTTAAATTTGACAAACCACCTTAAGTCAGGCTAGTTTGAATTCTCCATAAAGATTTAAGTATGATTGCATGTGGAGGGCATTGGAAGTTGTGAAGTTGATTCCTTTCTTTGCATGCTCTTGTTGCCTGCTTGGAGTTCATATTCCCCCCACCCCCCATTTCTCTTCACTGTTTATTCAGTTATCAGTAGAAAAGAAAAGAAAAGCACTGTGCAGAGTTATTGTKTTATATTTGTCTGATAGATTATTGGGTTTCCTTTTATTTCTTTACATAGAAAATCAGTCAACTACTGCAACAAGTTGCACAATTGAATGGATTGCTGTTAGCCCAACAGAAAGTTCTGCCTTCAAATTAGAAAATCCATCAAGGTGGGGGGAGTGTTTAACTTGTATATCAGAGAAGAGGCCGCATCAGGAGTTGCAGCTATTTTGAACGCCTTGTGTTTAGGCTCGAATTCTTGTTCACATTCACTATAATTCCATTAGCACAAAATTTTACTGAGAAAGAAGCTCCTGCTTTGAGCTTCAGTGCTAGACCTTTGAAGCACAGACCAAGAATATCAGGATGACACCATGTCCACCCCGAACGACATGAATGGTTGGTGCTGCACAAAAACAGATTATCATTTCAGAGCTGGAATATATACAGATGACTTATATTGATTTCTTTGTATTTGTTGGTGTCTATAGAATTGTATGCCATTCCTAGTTACCTGGTTTACTTTAATTGGCATGTTTTGCTTATGCTCCACCTATATACTGGATATGTAAATAGATATGTTTTGCCTGCAACGTTAACTTAACTAATGAAAACTGATCGAGTGACAACCTTACCAAACCATAAATTCAGCACAAATAAAAATATGGGACATTTAGCAGATGCTGGCTGGAACTACCGAATCAAATTCTTACTTCCTTTACATATCATTCTATATTAACACAACTCTAAACAGCTTATGGGGATGCAATGAAAAATAGTTCGCACAGTTTGGATGAGATTGGTTAACCTTTTGATTCAGAACTTCCACAAGCTACATAAGTTGAGATCGGGGGTAGGGTAAGATACTTGGCTAATTTGACTGGAATTCCAACAAGCTATTCTTCATTCTAAGAGAACATCTTTGCAAATATCTAATATTGGTCAACAGATTTCCAATGATCCATCATTCGACCCATTTGAGTTCCACCATGGAGATCAGATGATACTGAAGCACGTATATTTCAGCCCTCAAGAACCAGCTCGGACACTCCATGAGCAGCAAGACAGGATAAGAGAAGCAGTTTCTAGCCACCAGCAACCGTAAGGCTACAAGGACCTGGTGCAAGCAAATGGTGATGTAACAGCAGAATAAGGGCTCTTGCCAACATTATGAATGATTGCATGCAGTAAACATGCACGCTTGCTTGCTTTTCTGGATAAACTTGGTCAGGCATTCTTCAATAAATATCCGGCGTGATATCAGGAACAAGTAATGATCTTAAAGCTTCAAGTGCATAAATTTCAGGTATTCCAGSGATAATTAATGCCACTGAACCAATCAAAAGGAACTCCCTTGGTCACTTGGACAGCAAATTTTCCCTAATATCCTGAACCATCATCCTCATGAGAGGAATCCCTTGATATTTGCTCCTCGTCATCTTCATCCTCAACATCATCAACAGATGCAGGTTGTCCATTAAGATCTACATTGACACCATTTACCTTCCTCACGAACTGACCCCGCACTCGGGGCCTTCTCTCAGCAAGCCGTTTCCTATTAACGTACCTAATCTTCTTATCGAAACAACGCTCTTTCCTTTTCTGCCTAAATTTAATCAGTGCTGCCTCTCTCCTATCCAATTTGTTCGATTGTGCCTCATTTGTAGATGAATTTCCAAATGATGGCCATGAATTAGTAGTAGCTGGCATTTGACCAGGTTGTAAACATATATTCAGAGGGTAATAAGGATAAGATGCCATCCCACTAACATTGGGAGGGCAATGATGAAAATGACCGTACTGTTGTGACATCATTGCCGCATGATTTTGCATATCATGCAGGTTCTTTTGATACAGTTGAGCCGACATCATTCCTTCTGGCATATAAAATGGATAAGCAGTTCGTGTCTGCACAGGTAGGGCTGAATTATCAACTTGAGATCCATTTCGAGGATGCACGAGCACTTGAGAGCAATTCTCTTCATTTATGTTTTTTTCCCGAGGAACTTCTGTGGCTGCAGGTGGCGTACAGGATCTCTCCATAGAAAAAGAATCAGGAAAACTAGTACTGCTTGGGAATTCGTCTCCCTGTGACTGGCTTTCCAACGCCTCCCCATTTTCTTGTATTTGGGAATCACGGATTGCATGCTGACCAGTTTCCTGATGATTTTCATCCAGCAAAAGTCGTCTGGCACTGTCTTCAACATCTACTGCCTTCACAGTTTTTGATTTGACATAGGTAAAGAATGCGGATGATTCACCAATCTTTAGTTCACTCTTTCTTGGGCATGATGAAAGTTGCCCTGCAAGACATTACAAAAACATAATATCATACACTCTAAAAAATGGTGAAAGGAAAAAAATTTAATTGAGAATCAACTATAACTCAGGATAAAGCAATCTTTCTTCGAACCCATCTCACAGACAAGGCAATAATAGCATCACAGTCGAGTWGGTTAGCTCCAGAATGAAAAAAGCCAATAACAATCCTAGAGCGCTTAGCAAGAACTGCCATCAAGTACAGGACAATGATAGGTATCATAGTGAATTAGTTAACGGTCTAATGCATTCATTACATATGTTTCTGGCAGAAATGAAGTAATAATTGATATTTTCCAATAAACACAACTTGGAATATTTGTAATATGATGCTTATGAAAGAGCAGGTCAATTTGATCACWGGCTGACCTATTCGGCGCTCGCTAATTCCAGGTATATCTGGCTGATGTTCCACCGTATGAACAACAAGAGGCTCTACCAGTGCGACAATACCAGACTGAAAAAGATAAGTAAAGGCAATTTAAATGTAGTTCCCAGTTAAGGGTACAATATAGATGGCGTCAATAAAATAATGAATAAATAAAAGAAAAAGGCTTTCCATGCACCCTTACTTCATAATACTCAGATAAATCACATCAAGCATTGCTGCATTAAATAAACCAACTCTTACTTCAAAATTAACCTATTTATTTAAATCAATTTCTCATGTTTTATCACAATTCATATCAACCAATCAACTCTACCAAGTCCATGAATAAAACATAAATTTTCATTCATATCTTACTTTCAATTACATTAAACATCAATTATGATTTTCTAAGTCACCCTCCAAGGAGCAGCCTTGATGGCAACGACAAGGTTTAGGAGTCCTTAAAGGTCTTCGCGAACACTTAATAATGAAAACCATGATATCTGTTGAAGCTTGAATTAAAGGCCCAAGGACTTCTGTGAATTACAACTGCAGAGGAGCCACCAAACCGCAATTATTTATTTCTTTTCAAAGAAAAGGTACAACCTCCCAATTGATAGATGATTCTTACTGAAATTTGTCTGTCCGGTAAAAGATAAAAATCAAAAAAATAAATCTAAAATCTAAAATTCAAAATAATATTCTTCATTTTACTTCGTATATTTATCCAAAAACTATAGCCAATTCATTTAGCCTCATCGGCATCTCTTTGCCCCTAAAGAAAACGAGCACAAAATGCACAATTAACAAACAATACCCACGTAACAGTTAGCTATTGAAAAAAGAGAGAAATTTACAAACAAAGCATCCCAACTTTACATTTTTTAGGGTAAGGACAGAAAGCAACCTAATGATAAATATAATAATATAGTACTTGATATTGCAACATCATTTCCAAACTTCAAAAATTCAATTATACCAAACCAACCTCATCTTCCTGATGTGTTGCAATTTCAATTTCTGGATTTGTGCTCCTACGTGACTTGTCATCAGTGTCATCCGAGAACAAAGTAGTACTATTCGTATTAGCATCACTTGGGTCTGATGCGACCATATCAAATTCATAATTCAAGATGTTCTTTTCTGCCAGTCCAAGCTGCCATCATAAAACAGATGGATGGCCGAGTGAGATGAATAAATTGCAAGTATTTTTGTACAAGCAAAGAGGTCTGGAAACATAAGGGATTGACCAGATATTTATTTGGAGATTAATAAATTAAAAAGATATACATCATCTGCAAAGATTCAAAGGGCCACCCTAGACCCTTTGATTGCATGTTTCCTTGCAATTGATGCACAACCAAATTCTATTTGAGAAAATTAATCTAGGGAAGGAAGGGAAGGTAGATGTTAAAAAATAAAATATCAGTCCAAGGAGGCAAACCATGCGCCTTCTTCTCCACATGTGTGTCCACAAGTTTAGTAGCTCATTTGTTCGTAAAGGCTTTACAAGATAGTCAGCTGCTCCAAGTCTCAAGCACTTAACAACAATAGGGACCTCGTCTTGTGTTGACATCACTTACAAAGCAAGGGAAAAATAAATCAAATAAATGAGGATCACATCATTCTCTTAAATTTGAAACATTAACGTTTGATAAATTGGTGGTAAGGGAATTAGAACTTACTGATAACAGGAATGCGTCGCAGCTCTTTATCCCGGGTGATGTACTTCAACATTTTCATGCCTTTGGCCATTGGTAGATCAACTTCCGAGAGTATAATATCAATTTCAGGTCCCTCCGCATTCAAAGCATCAATAACCTGTCTAGCTGAACTCACAGAAATGACTGTCGACCAAAAGAAAACCTTATATCATTAAAATAGTTGACATTTCTATCAATTGCTAGTATTGAAAATTTTGCAGAAACSAGTGAACTTTTATAAAATTATTGATGTRTATATATAGACAGTAGTKAGAATCACATTATAACATAAGAAGTTCTACTGTAATAAACATTTAAACTCACACAACTACAAGAGTGTCTCCAGAGATTTGAACTTAACTGAAATGACTAATTACTATGCATTACTTTTAGCAACCAAAAGATTCTACTGAGGAAAAAAGGYGGTACCCTGGTAGGAACATTTTAACAGAAGCTTGAAAACCTCTTCTGAACTTTTTGAATCATTATCGCACAGCAAAATCCTCACTTTGCTCCTGTCTATAAATCCATCTCCCCCATTCTTCCCACCGCTACCACAGGCACCACAATCTTCGTTCAAATTGAGCTCCTTGCAATCCATAACCGACAAACCAACCTATATAAAACGTGATTCCCTGCCTAAATACAAAGCAATCAACTGCAGCCCAAAAAGAAAGAAAAGAGAAAAGGAAATACTCAAAAAGGTTAAATACATACTAGAGAAATTCCATCCACAGCTTCGTCAATCTTCCCACAGAATCCAACTTAGGGTTAGGGTTTCGATCACTGACTTCATTCACGTATCAGAAGGTCACCCATCCCGTTCAATACCGACGACATCGAAATCAAACCCAAAAGAAACACCTCAGTTAAAAGCTCACGGAACTGCGCAACCAGTCAATTAATCATGCTAGTAGCACAGATTACACTCCTCCACCAAACGGTAAACCAAACGCTCCCGGAAGATCCGAGTTCCGAAGATCAAACGTGACCACCAGAAACCAATAAAAATGAATCGTTTTTCTCGTTTCCCCGAAGATGACGCGCGTTGGCACACGTCTGGACGGTTTTTGGTGTGGCGTTTACGGCGAGCCGCGAGCGARCGCACAGAAGATTTTCAGTCAGCCATCGTAAATGCTTATATCTACGAAAAACAAATATCTTTGCTCGATCAGCTTTGGAGGCTAAAATGCACCGATTCGATCAAATTGGCGGCAGATGGAGGGCTGAGATTGACGAGAGATGAAGCGCACGATAGCAAAAGCGGAAATCGGAGAGAGGAAATTAAAAAAAAGTGCAAAAGGGGATATTGGTATCGTGAGGGTTGGATAGTTATGTAGAGATGGCGAAGAAGCCACGTCACCCGCAGATCTTCTCCAATGAACCAAATGAAATATGACCCATTCCCATTTTTTCTCCCACCAAATTATTCATTTCATTAATATTCTGAATTTTCCTATTGGTCGACTGTTTATGTTGGCAATCTACGTGGCGTGCCAGAACCGCCCACGTGTCTTCCTCTTTTTGACTTTTTCCTCCTTTTCCTGAAAAGGTATATAAACTTTTATTATGATTTGAGTATGGCAATTCAAAAAGTTCAATCTTTTCACTATTTTATACGAGTATGTTGCGTTGCATTGCATTTGCAGCAGAAAAATAGGAATGTTACCAGAAAGAGTTTGTTCTCTGTTCTTCAACTGCTGCTCCTACAGGCTACTAGTGCCTCTGATATTGTCTCTGATTTGCAGCTCTCCATCCGGGCTTGTCTGGTTAAATTACGAAGCATCTCGTAAATTAAACTCACGTCCTTATGGGTCTCATCCCCGGCCACGAAATCATGTACAACTTGATTCATCTGGATCCAACTTCTTCCTGCAGGTTTCTTCACTCCCAATTCAAGCATACTCTGTCTCAATGTGGCAGTGTCTTGCCACCGTTTATCTGCAGCATACACATTAGCTAGGAGCATGAAATATCCAGCAGCTTGGTTGTCGGGATYGGTTCCGAAAGCCAATTTTTTGGCAGCATGGGATGCGATTTCGTAGTTCTTGTGAGCTCTGCAGCCGCTGAGGAGCGCTCCCCACACAGCATTGTTTGGCTTCATTGGCATACTTTCAATCAGACTCGATGCTTCACTCAGCAAACCTGCACGGCTGAGGAGATCAACCATGCATCCATAATGCTCAATCTGCGGGCTGACTCCAAAAGTATCGTGCATAGATTTGAATAGTCGAAAGGCGTCGTCGATTAAACCGGCATGACTACAAGCAGTGAGAACCCCAATGAAGGTTATCTCGTCAGGTCTTACTTCAGTTTCACCCGAGCACAGCATCAACTGGAAGATTCTAATGGCTTCTTCTCCACGGCCCTGTTTTGCAAACCCGGTGATAACGCTCGACCAAGACACAGTGTTCCGCTGGGGCATTTCTTCAAACACTTTATATGCTTTGTCCATTTCACCACAACTTGCATACATGTGAATCAGAGAATTGAACAGAGACACCAATACTGGCCAGTTTCTACTTTGCCATGTTTTTTGTATATACCTATGAATCCATTTTCCTAATGTCAAGTCTCCCAATTCAGCACATGCTGACAATGCAGCCACCAACGCCACCTGATCCAATGCCACACCAGCCCTCCCCATCTGACTAAATAGCGATAAAGCTAGCTTACAGTGGCCATTTTGAGCAAACCCAGCAACCATTGTGGTCCATGACTGGACATTTCTCTCAGGCATCTCGTCGAAAACTTTTCTAGCCCCATCAAAATCACCACGTCTAACATACCCTTTTAGCAAGGAATTCCAGCTCACGACGTTTCTATCGAGCATTTCATCAAACATGTAACGCGCACTCTCGAGACCAAAATCCCCTCCACCATTCGCGTAAAAATTGACTAAGTTCACTCTAACGTACGTGTTGGAGTAATACCCACTGGCCAAAACTCTCCCATGAATCTGTTCTCCCTCTCGAAGTAACCTCGATCTCGCACACGCACTCAGAAGAAACGAATACGTGAACCCATCTGCCTCAACTTCCGCCGCCGCCATTCGTTTGAACAGCTCAAATGATTCTTGAGCCGATTTGCTCCGCGCATGCCCTCTAATGATCTGGTTCCACACAGTCGTACTCGGTACACTGACGTCCCCGAAAACTTTCTGAGCACTTCCAAGAAAACCGAAAGAGATATAGAGCGATAACAGATTGACAAGGATGTAATTTTTCTGGTTAAAGCCGCTGACGACTATCTGGGCATGGATTTTCGCTAGATTACGAACAGATTTACAGCACTTTAATAGAGAGAAAATAAATTGTTGTCTGGCTCTGGAGCTTCTTAGAATAGCGGGAATGGCGGTTTCGTCAACTACCATGGCATCCAACTTTTCAAATTCGACCCGCGATTAGTACACCAGCGTCAAAATCTACTGGAAAGAAAGCTTGTATTTTGCTTTTCACGCAATCGTTTAATTGGGAAAATTTTATTTTGTACGCATCTAATTCAATTTTTAATTTTTAATTTAAAGCCTTAAATATCAAAATTCAATTATAAATTTAAAATAAAGGATGAACTTTTGCCCTTCAAAATGAAATTAAAAAGTTGTCCAAAAACTAATAAATGTTTCCTTAAATTACTAAAATAATTTTATTTTGGTTGTCTACTCCCTTAAAATATCCTAAAACGTTTTTATTGGACAGTAAATATGGAAAATAGAATATTATTGCTCCCAAGTTTATACTATTGAATTTGTATTCAGATGTTATAGTACACAACAAATCTTCAAGGGGTACACTCTACGGGCTTTCTTTTCACAAAGGAATAAAACTGTGAAGGTGGGGTGGCGGCAAGGCAACCATGGCTGAGATAAGAGCTTGAAGAACAGTGTTCTGCTACCTGTGCAGTTTGGAGATTATCTCTGCATATTGAGGAAGAAACAAGTGGTAAGATCAGGCGGTGCGAGATGTTGAGGATCGTAAAAACTAGTTGCTGTTTGTGYTTTCTATCGCTCGAGTTTGAAACAACTCAGATGTCGTGAGAGGGACAACTTACATGGCAATGAATAACACAACAGTACTATCAATTGAGACAACTCGGATCTTGTACAAGCGACTTTCATACTGGAACTGCCTCGGGCCTTTTGCTCGTTTTGATTCCTTTTATGGCTGTTCAAGAATCAATTCAAGAGGGGAGAAGTGAGTTAAAATGTTCTATACATTTGCAAAAGGGGGGAGTGGAAGGAACTGTATGGATCATACATACCCTCTGCATAATCTTTAGCCCCAAAAACAGCAGAACCTGCAACTAAAGCATTGGCTCCAGCCTCGATGACCTGCAGCCACGGTAGCAGTCAGAAACTCATGTAATAGAAGCTTTTGYTTTGGGAAATGTTACAATATACACCTTATACGCATTCGCTGGAGTGACTCCACCGTCCACTTCAATCCATGGGTTCACTCCCTGCAACAAAGCAAATGAAATGCCGATTGCTTTTGAATCCTTGTGATGCCGGGAGAGAAAAGTCTATCAAGGAAAACTTATGGAAGAAGCTACTAGAAGGGGACATTGTACCTTTTCAGCACATAATCTTCTTAAATCTGAGATTTTCTTTACTTGGCTCTCAATAAAGCTTTGCCCACCAAATCCAGGATTTACCGACATAATTAAGACAAGATCAACCACTGTAATCAGACAATGGGCATTGTTAATTCCTCCCATTTTGTTCAGACAAATACCCATACATATTTCACTATCACCCTTTCTCTAGGTATGATTAACAATTATGCGCTTAACGTTAAGAAACAGCATCTAAGACCCATTCCAAATGGCTTAAAAAATATCATATCTTGTTCTTCTCAATCCAATCAACTCATCACTTTTTCTCAGTCATTTTTCTACCTGAATTTATTGTCAAGTTTCTTAAAGCGATATGACATCCTGCATTGAAATTGGCCTCAAAAGTCAAAACCCCCGTCCCCCAACAGATGATATCATTCCCAAAGATTCAAACTTCTTTAATAATCCTCACAGTAGAACATCCCAGCAATTACAGAGAGAGAGAGAGAGAGTCACCATCAAGGACATATTCAATTGTGGTGAGTGGGGTAGCAGGATTTAGGACCACTCCAGCTTTAGCTCCAAGACTTTTTATCTGAATCATATTTGACGGAATAGCCATTACGAACAAAGATAAATGATCCTTCCTTAAGATGCATGAACTCATTTAAAAATAAAGTCATCCGAGTCGGCAACCAATCTTTCTAGAATGAAGCAAAAGGTTATCAAGAAAATAATCAGCCACAAACCCCTGTACTGTACAAGTAGTTTTCAACATGAGTAACCTTTTCAGTCCACAAAGTTTCAGAACAATAAGAACGGTAGAATCCATATATGCTTTCTTTTGTTTCTAAAGAATATGTTGGATGACGTAGTTTTATCTTCATTTGGACATAATAACGTGCACCTAATTCTGTACTGCATCASAGAGAAGGAAATCTTACTTGATTAAGGGTGCGGTGCAGATGGATTGTGGAAGATTGCTCACAGTGGACGCTAACGATATCAGCACCAGCCTTTATAAAGTCTGGCACACGCTGCTCTGGCTCCACAATCATCTGCAATGCTTTGAGTTTATGTTAACTAAGTACTTAAAAAATCATTGCTAAACCAAGTAGAATATAAAAATCATCTGCAATACTTAAGTTTATGTTAGCAAAGCATACCAGATGCACGTCCAAAGGAAGATCTGTCACAGGGCGAAGGGCATCAACGACAAGAGGTCCGATTGTTATATTTGGAACAAAACGGCCATCCATCACGTCAACATGAACCCAATCACAACCTGCCAGTTCCACTGCTTTGACCTGCACAAGATGAGAATGCCAATCCCCATGAAACCATATACATAAATCTACAAAKCAATTCAATAAATTACTTGGAAGCATACAGCACAATGAACAAACATAATGGAAAGATCAGAGCATGGAACGGAACCTGCTCTCCCAGTTTTGAAAAGTTAGCAGAGAGGATTGAGGGAGAGACAATGATATCGGATTTTGAATATTTATCAACCCGAGCTGAAGCTTTCACCACATTTCTGAACCTCCTCCTGGAAAATTAGTAACAGAAGCAAATTGGATACCAAATGATCCTTCGTAAACGCAATTCAATTCTCCATCGGTGCACCCTCAGAGAAAGTAAAAAAATAAAAAATAGAGGTCAAGCTAGAAGACAAGCAAGAACATTCTGGGTTGGAAGTTGGAACCAAAGAACAGCAATGGGTATCGGAAAATCTCAGAATTAGACTGAAAAATACATAATTCCCTAAAAATCGTTTATTCAATCCCGTAATCCCAATTAGACGGGCCAAATTATCACCTCGAGCCACGAATCCGAAGAACGAGGAAAATCAAAGCTACCTTAATTGCAATACACAAACTTAAGAATCCCTATACGAAAACAAAATTCATGGCAATGTGTCTAAGGAAGCTTAAAGCAACCAAACGGAGAAAGAAGAGGGAGAAAAAGGGCACCCCATTAATCGAATTACCTGGAATAGGTGAGAGAACTGGGTTGAGAGAGAGCTGGTTTCTGAAAAGTGAGAGCTCCAATTAACCCACTGGCCTGGGATTGCATGGTGGATTGACATAAGGAAGCAACAGACATCTTCGACTCAAAAAACCCCTCTCTGAGTTGGGTTTCAAAGGGTTAGGTAACGATCCGAAGTCTGATAAATTTTTCAACCCTTTTCGCTCCCTCCTCGCGCTAGTCTTCCAGCATGAATAATGTAAGACCACCAAATCTAGACAACCAAAAAAATAAAAAATAAAAATAAAAATAAAAATTTGGGTCGAAGAAATGAGTGGATGAGGATGGTGGGCGTACCACCAGAATTCAGGGATTGCTTATCTTCAATGGTTGGCCTTCTACATTGCTGACATGGGAGAAAGCGCGCTTCAAAATGTCTTCTTTTGTCAATAGAATTGAGATTTTGACCCCCTTTAAAATTATCTTATTACATTAAAAACTGTGCTTCTTATTTTTTTTAAACATATTTATTCATCTACATTTATAATTGATCGACATTGTCATTCAAAGTCATGTTTTTTTAGTACAACATATATAAGATAAACAATTGAACTTTTGATCTCTACATAAAGAGCACGATATTTTAATCACTAAACTATACTTATGTCGATAATAATGATGTAACTTAATATGATAAAAATAAAAAATTATAGAAATATAGTAGATGTTGAAAAGGGTCATTAATTCTATATATTGTTGGATCACTAATTTTGAGCCAAATTTGTGTCATAATCCGTTAGTACTTGATTGGTCTTATAATGTATGAGAAGAGGCAAGACAAACTATTATACTTTCTTTCCACAAATTTTCAAAGACATTTCAAAAAAAGATGGTTGTYACTGTTAGAAAGTACCATCTGCTCTCCATCAATTTTCTTTTATGCTTACTTTTTTGTTTTCTAAATTACACTAATGAGGAATTGTTGTAAACCAGTTTGTAACAATTTTATCTAGAAGGTTTATCAAACATTAATTGCCAAAAGTGAGATAATTTTCCAAGAAAAGGGCGGCACAAAGATCTAGTTGCCATAGCTGATGGATCATAAGTTTCTCAACACCGACAGAACCGGAATAGACCAAAAGATAGATCGGGAGTCGCTGTATCTTCGGCTTGTTGCTCTCAGACAAAAGATGCAGACCTGATTCGGCGACCTCCATAGACGACACAGGTCCTGCTCGAGTCGAGGCCAACTGTTGCCACTACCCTTTTGCTCGAAAGCGAGTTCGGACCCAATGAACCGTACATTTAACCCTTGCCCAGATGAAAATTATGCAAATATTAGGAGATTGATGAGGCAGAGTGAGGACGATCCGAAGAATCTGTTGGACAAGGATCCGCACAGTGATTTCAAGAGCAACCAAGAAGTGAAATGCGGGTTCAGTTCGATTCGAGTAATGGGTATGTTCGTGGTTCTGATGATGTTCATTTCTGTGATCTTTTCGGTGACTGTGGTTCTCAGAGACCCCCCATCGGATGCTGTAATTGAAGTTTCAGATTTGGAGATTTCTCTGGCGAACTCTGATCCAGGTGCTTGATCTTGAACTTGCATGCCCGTTGCTACTATCTTCAAGCTCTGTGTCTGAGATGTGTCTTGTGCAGTAATATACTTGGTCATGGCATTTGCTTGAATCGACTTCAATTAATTAATTATTTCAAGTGATAGAAGACCCATCTCAACCTGTTTGTTAGAATGACTGCTTTAGTGCCGAGTGTTTAGGCCYTCAAAATGATTTGGATCTTGTAACACATTTGCCCCTAATTTTCTCGTTCCATCCTACATTGTGAATTATGTCTGAGTTCTGTTTGTTCATACTTTATATACTTTTCCTACTCTCTTTTCACGATGGATCGAAGCTGGGAAATTTGTTACTTTTATTGATCTTATGATAGAATACTGATATGAGAGCTGAAAGGTATCCTCAAGACTTTCTAGTTTTTATTGCGAGATAATCATTTTTGATGTGCCGTTGTATGTAATCTAATTATTTGTTATTAGTCTCATATTAGGAGATTAGTTAAAACTGTCAGTGGGCTCTCTAATTAGCCTTCCCCTGTTACCATACATATCAGAACACAGAAAGAATACTTTTCACATTTTCAGTAGTTGTTTGTTAGTTTTCTTATGCTTCTTTATCCAAATATGTTGCATCATATATGTTTTGGTGAAATTGAAGATCCTGTTTTTCTTTTTGCATAGGTTAAGTTCGTTCTTTGTTATTCGTAATTTCTCTGAAGCTATATAGTATACTGTTCTTGCTGAATTCCAATCAGAGATCGTCTAATATATGTATGTATGAAATGTGCTTGTCATGCCAGTTACATTCTGTTAGCTTTCTTATCTTCTGTCAGCAGATTCTAAGGATGGAGATCTTCATTCGGTTATACATCCAGTCGATAAACTGCTCGGTGGCCTTCTTTCTTCCAAACATGGGATGGGTTCGTGTCTGAGTAGGTACAATTCAGTTGCTTATCAACACAAGCTGGCGTACGAACCCTCTTCTTATCTAATCTCCAAATTGCGGAGCTATGAAGATCTTCATAAGCGTTGTGGAGTTTATACTGAATCTTACAACAAAACTTTGGAACAGCTTAGATTTAATGGTAGTAGCAGCTCCTCAGACTGTAAATATCTTCTGTGGATTTCCTTCAGTGGGTTAGGGAATAGAATACTGACCCTTGCTTCGGCATTTCTTTATGCTCTCCTCACAAATCGCGTGTTACTCGTGGACCCTGGAACTGACATGGCTGATCTCTTCTGTGAACCATTTCCTGAGGTTTCTTGGTTTCTTCCCCAAGATTTCCCATTAAAAGGTGAGTTCAACAACTTCAACCAGAACTCTCCTAATTGCTATGGGAAAATACTGAAGAATAGCGCAACGACAGACTCGAGTGAAATGATACTGCCATCTGTTGTCTATCTTCATTTGGTCCATGATTATGATGATGTTGATAAGCTTTTTTTCTGTGATCAAGACCAATCTGTTCTGCAGCAATCACCTTGGCTTGTTATGAGAACAGACAACTATTTTGTGCCGTCTCTCTTTTTGATCCCGTCATTCGAGAAAGAACTCGATGAACTTTTCCCAAATAAAGATACAGTTTTCCACTTCTTGGGTCGATATCTGTTTCACCCCACRAATTCGGTTTGGGGACTCATTACAAGATATTATCAAGCTTATTTGGCTAGAGCAAGTGAGAAAATAGGTATTCAGATTAGAGTGTTCGACATCGGGACTGGACCTTTTCAGCACATCCTGGATCAGGTTCTGGCTTGTACCCTGAAGGAGAATCTGTTGCCAGAAACAAATAAGCAGATGAATATCGTCGGTCCAGCTAGTAATCAGAAGTCAAAGGCCGTGCTGATAACTTCCCTGAGTGCTGGTTACTACGAGAAGTTGAGAGACATTTACTGGGAAAATCCGACTGTGACGGGAGAGAGAATTAGTTTTTACCAACCAAGTCATGAGGAACACCAGCAAACTGAGAAGAGTATACATAACCAGAAGGCATGGGCAGAGATGTATTTGTTAAGTACCACCGACGTATTGGTCACCAGCTCGTGGTCAACGTTCGGATATGTGGCTCAAGGTCTTAGTGGTCTGAAACCATGGATATTATACAAACCCGAGAATCGTACTGCACCCGATCCGCCTTGTCATCGAGCCATGTCCATGGAGCCCTGTTTCCACGCACCGCCTTTCTACGACTGCAAGGCTAAGAAAGGAACGGACACAGGTAAACTTGTTCCTCATGTGAGGCATTGCGAGGACATGGCCTGGGGGCTTAAGCTGGTTGATCATTATGATTGATTTTGCTGATTTTGTTATGATATTGTTATATGACTCAACAAATTTTGCAATTTGTAGGCTGTAGAAGATCATCAGTTTACTTAAAAAACAAACTCTTGAGTTCCATATTCCATGATTGGGAAGATGAAACTTGTTACATTCCCCATATAAACCATATTTCTAAAGAAAGCTATATTCTCAAAGTCAAATCTTCAACAGAACCCTTTTTTTCTCTTTGTCTTGGCCATTTGGTAAAGTTGCTTCTTTTAAAAAAGGAAATGGAGGGATGATGGTGTATCAATGACCCATTTGAAGGCAAAAAGAACYATCTCATTCATACAAAAACAAGACCACATTAAATGAATACCATTCCCTTAATCCAAACTTACCGATCACATGCCCGAGCATAGCCTTTTTCGTAGAAACATTCTCAGTCGGTACCTAATTTAAATTCTCCGTCGGTAATYGTCTCAAGCTTTTTAGGTGCAAAAAGTAAAATTMATTAATTAAGGGCTCTTTTACTTTAGAATAATGTAGAGTGGACCAAATTTTAAAGTAAAATTTAAACTCTTTCTTTCATCCTTGATGAGAAGGAGATCCATGGAGAAGTCTCCCTCAACCTCAGCCCACAAATAGATATTGAAATAAAGTGTCAATTTATCATTGGCACATAACAAAGAGATAAAAGTAGCTTATCTATTAGGAAAAGGAAGAAGAAGATAAAATACTTTATAGGATTGAAATTGTTCTTAAAAGTTTATAAAAATGAATTAGAGATGTAATATCATGCAGAAAAGTAGTAGATACAAGTAGGTGTTGGACATCATTCTCTTTAAATTTGACAATGCCCTTCTTMCCAATATTAGACTCTATCTATGGGAGAGGAATATGTGACAGGAGAAAATGAAGGATTATTTTGGCTCTTTCTTMTAACTTAGTTTTCAAGATAAGTTTTACRCCCTTTTTAATTTGTCAAATTTGACCATAACTCAATTGGTTAAAGCATATATCTTCAACCAAAATTCAAAGTTCGCATTTCCACCCTCACATATTGTGAACCCAAAATATTATGGTTATCGTTCATAAATTTTTACCTGAAAAGTTTTTAAATCATGATTAAAAAAAGAATTGTGAAGTTTATCAAATAAAAAAAACAAACATGGTAAAAACAACTTAATTTAAGTTTGTGCATTCAACCTAACATTCATATTTTTCGCACAAGAGATTATTGAAAAAGGTTAAAAAAAAAAAAAGAAAAAAAGATACCACTAGTATGTGTTGTTAGTGCTTTACAACCTTCAATGAATCAAACACTTTAATGATAAATGGATATGCATTGGAATTTTATGACAAAATATGGAAAGTATAATCACTTTAGACATACATACATGCAATATAATATAATGCAAAATACAAAATGTATTTATATTATAATACTTTGGATAAAAGTTCTGGGATTTTCCTTAACATGCAAAAATGGATAACATTGATCTCTGACCACCCAAGAAAAGATAATAAAATTAAATGGGTTAAAATTTTCATATATAATTGAGAGTTTTCTATTCCAAGAAAAAGGAATTTGCCAATCAAGGGTGGAATTTTCTTGAAAAAGTTGTGGTGGGTGATATTGACCTTGGCGACCGCTGGAGAGAAACACCGCCATGTGGCAACCAATTATAGGTTCTGATCAATACCCAGCGGTGATGTTATCAACCATCAGACCCAATCCAAGCCAAAAGATTAATAGCTTCTGTCATAAAGAATTATTGGACGAATTTATAATTAATAATTTTATACTGCTTTTTCAGTACACCTGACGCTTAATAAATTTTTCTTAATTAGATGTTGTAAAATTGTTCAATTAACTATTCTTTTTAAAATGAAAATTAATTTTGATTTTTTTTATCTTTAGAAGAGACTCGTTTTAATAAGAGTCTAACACTCTACCTAGAGTAGTCTAGTCATAAGATGAGACATTCGAGTAAATGCATTAATTTTATCAAACATATCTATAGAATAGATATTTTCTACTAGAAAATAATCGTACTTTCGTAGTATATTTGAAAAGAGTTTTATTTTTCTAATACGTAAATTAAWCTACTCTTTTCTTTTTTCTTCATAGRTAAAAAATCGTAAATTTTTGCAAAAGCTTTATTTTTCTAATATGTAAAGAAATCTACTATTTTCTCTCTTCCTAGGTAAAAGTTCGTATGAAGGATAAATATCACAAAATTAAATTTTGTGCATTGTTGCTTTACCAATTATGTCATAAACTTATGCTTATGAAAAAATACATATATTTATAGTTTACAGAACATATACATATACATATATACATACATACATATATATATATATATATATATATATTTAAATCGGTATTATAATTTAATTCCTATCTTACGAGAGATATTTTTTTTAGTACAACTGTAATGTGGAATTCGAACTTATATTCTCTTAGTCAAAAATATATACTAATTATAACTATACTCGCTTTTGACATCTTAAGGGAGATAATGGCGATGTGAATTCGTAAAGACACCTTAATTAAACTCTCATAAATAATCATAACTTTCTTTTTAATACAATATGTGTGGGTGGGAGATCCAACTCAAAACCTAAGATATATGTYAATTACCGTTGARTTAGAYTCGCTTTGACATAAATAATCTTAACTACGCACTAATGTCTCATATAATATTTGAAAGGGAAAAAAAAGTCACATATAACATAAATAAAACATGAAACATTTGAACAAAATTTTAATCAAAACTCAAACTAAACCATAATCATTCAAAATGTACTAAGATTACTTGACTCAATTATATCATGTAAAGAGCTGGATATGAAAGCGAATTTGCACACAATTTTGTTTGTTTGTTTGTAATAAAGAAAGAAGATAGAGATGGAGACCATCCATTATCCTTATCATATTGATACTGACTTTACTCCCAACATAATATCTTCAATGGCTGCGGAAGCCATTWAAGCACTGCTCCAACTTCACTTTCACAGCACCAAAAAGACACGTTTACACATTATTCATCAATTGAAAGCAACCCCTTTTGCGAATTGCTTCAGTAATTCCATACCATTTGGGGGTTCAAGTTCAACGGTGCAGCAGTTGAAGCAGAGGGAGCGTTCTGATTGTCGAATGGCGATCGACCCATTTCGAGATTCGAAACAACAGAAGAGATTTCGATGTTCATATCAGTAGTTAGCCCTGTTTCTTGGGACACGCTGATTCTTTCCCCTTCTGCAGGTTTGAATGTTCGAGCCATGTTTGGAAACTGCAAATTTGAAGGGAAAGAGATGGATTCTGGATTGTACAATGGAGTGGGCTGTGTGTTTCTCGGGAAAATAGTGGGAAAATAGGAAGTGAAATTGAGAGAATAATCAGTGATTCTCGGTGGGGTTCTTTGAGAAGAATCCATGGCGTTGGAGAAGCAGGGCACGTGAGCCAATTCGGGAACTGGTTTGATCTTGAACGATGAAGAAGAAGAAGAAGAATCCTTCAATGGCGGCAGAGCAGAAGAAGAACAAGAACCCAATTTAACCAACCCAGAAATGTGAACTTTTTTCCCTCCACAGCTCTTCTGGAACACCCTCGAAATCACCCATTCATTCTGCAAGAAAAAAAAACAAACCCAAAAGTTCAAAACCCAAAAAGAAAAAACAGAGAGCTCTGTAATTTCAAAAGATCATCTCAAAACAACAAACAAAAACAGAGTAAATTTTGTACCTTTGCAGTATTTGGGTGGTTAATAATGGCAGAGGGTTTTCCCTCTAATCTGAATTCATGCATGACCCAGTTGGATTTCTCCCCTTTTGGGGCTCTTCCCCCATAGAAAACAAGAGTTTTCTTCATCCCCACCAGCGTTTTTCCTCTGTAAATCTCCTTATCTTTGCCTGTAGCTTTCCAATACCCTGATTCAGTGGCTCTGTTCGTTCTCAACCCAGTGGGATACTTCCTATCCCTCAAACAGAAAAAGTACCATTCCTTTTCCCCCATTTTCGCTTTCCCTTAGAACAAAAAACAAACCCCARCAATCAAAACCAGTAGTTTCATTTCCACAACACAGAGAGAGGGAAAAAAAATAGATGGAGGATCTTACAGGGCAAATCCCAAGGCTCAGACTTGTTGAGATCGACGTCTCCAATGGGTTTGCAAGAGAAATTGGAATCGACCACCTTCTTAGAGAGATAATGAGAAATAAGCTCTTCATCGGTTGGATGGAAGCGAAATCCGGGCGGCAAAACAATCTGGGAATCATCGGTAACAGAGGATGTCATGTTTTGTTCCAGTGTATTTGGTCGGAGAAAACCAAAATCTTTGGGTGAAAGAGTAAAATATTTGGGAGAAACAGAGAGAGAGAGAGAGAGAGAGAGGGAAAAGGAAGGGTGAGGAGTTTAAAGTGGGCGTAAGAAAGTGACGGGTCCTTGAGCTCCAAGTTGATTGAAGTTGTGTGGGTTCAGAGCTCCTTACACAACAAAACAAAACTCAGAAAGATTACAGAGAGATGAGAAAGATGAAGTGAAGTGAAACGAAGCTCCATAAACGAAGCTCTTATATCACTAACACAAAAGTTTGGCATGCCACGCAACGGAACCTAATCACAAGATTAACCTATCAATTTCGTCTTCAAAATCTTCATCTTCTATTGTCCGGAGATTTTTCTTCTTTCATTATTCACTCAAATTTATCCTAATTCTTCTTTTGAAAACGACAATTTCTTCCGTGTTAATTATCACGTCATTTTCAAAATATTAATGGATGTTTGTTCAAAGAGTAATTTTGAGACATTTATGAAAGGTTGAGGATGATTTCGAARCTTTTGAAATGATAGTAGTATTGTTCTATTTTTTATAATTTAGCCATATATTCAACCAAAATTAGACGGGTTGACATGGATATTAAGAGGTATGTTTCTTTTACATCGTAAAATATAAATGAAACGTTATTGACTAAACACAAACTTGAAGAYAAATACTTATTTCAAGGAAATAACGAACAACCGCGCTGGTCATAATAGATCGGACTTTCATGYTAGGTCCTTGCTGCCAGTCTTATGCCATGGGCAGGACGAGACCATAACCCACATCTTGGTAAGTGTGCAGCTTTTTCTTAACAATATTAGAGAAAACTTATTTTTCCTCCCCAGAAATAATTTTACAACAAAGGGTGAAATTCTAACCTTCAAACAATTGATTTTATTTGCAATATTTGAGATGAGAATCAATTTAAACTAAGCATATGACTTCCCCACGAAAGTACTTATTTTTTAGGAATCCGTTCTCTCAAAATTAATAATCAGAATCCTAATTTTATATGTTTTAATAAGAATGAGTCATTTTTCATTCTAAATAATAAATTAGGCCTAAAAGTTTTATAATTGGTATGAATGGGTAATGGGAAAATGGGAATTTAAATTATATCCCCTTATTTTATTCTTTGATTTGCCTGCTTTACTTGTTATGGCAATAGAAAAAGCAATCCATTCCAATACATATCTACCTCTATATTAAATTATAATTATAATTTTGAGCATAAAAACAAAATTCAACTACTATGAACAAAAATACATAAATGATAAAAACTACCCACTCTTTAAGAACAAAATGAGTATAAAAGAGATGTTAAATAATATTGTAAAACAATAACCTTATTAGCAAAAATGATGGTGTGAATGCACAAAAATAAATATTCCCATACTTGTACGACACCGTTTTTTCCATGTGAACAGAAGAAAGTGAAACGAATCCCCACATGCGACCTTCTAATAATCTAATTCAATTCAAATACAATTAGTATGCAAAGTGCAAACTCTCTATTTACTGAATTTTTCAAACATATTAGAGCTTTCAATTACTCAGTTCCACACAACACCAAATCAAACATACGTATTTTATACATTATTCTCTACAAATGGTTAAAAGGGATGTTCAAGCTAAGAGCTTTTTTTTTCTTTCTTGTCTTGCCACGCTTTCTTCTCGGCTTCTATCTTCGCTTTTACGCTTGCGTGAAATCCTTTATATGGTTCGTATTTGAATAAACCTTGAAGAATCTGCAGAGAATTCTCAAATTAGACACATTTTCAAATGCTCTACTTTTGTTGATGAACAAAAGAGGATCTTGGTATAAGAAGGGGTTTGAGCAAAGATTACCTCCAACAAAACGAAGAATGGAGCCATTAGAAAAGCTTGAGCAAGGTTGTCGATGAGAGCAGGCGCTCGTTTCTGTCAAACGAAACCAAAACCCAGCTTAATTGAGGGATTGAAACAATAAGAAAACATGTTAATGTTTATGAAGTTTAACTAGTTTATCAGTTACCTCGAACAATCCATGACCAAGAAACTGGCTTGTCCAACACAACAACTGTGCAGCCAGCACTACCTGATACACCAAATGACAAAATAAACAGTTTAAGCTTTCATGCTAGAGACAGTATAAATTCTGCAAGGAATTGGACATGTCTTTTAGATCCTTAAAGTTTGACATAGGATTACAGATGTATGCCGAGGAGTACTGTCGAGTTAGTACGATGTCAAAAAAGAAAAAGAAAGAGTGTCAATCGTATAGTATACAGGTTTTTTCTTTTTTTTTTCAAAGGGTGGCCTTAAGTTATCTAAAAGGAATCTCCCAGCTGGTCCAATATTCAAAAGCTGCAAGCTTTCTCATCCCAAATTTCAGTCACAAGACTTTGAGATGATCCTCGAAAAAGTACTTCCTAAAATTTCTTCAAAATTGATGTTCATCAAGTTTAGCCTAGTACAACAATATTAACATGCTATAAAGACAGAGTAGCCAAGAAGACAAGGACAACAAAAGGACACATCGGATCATAGGGAGGAAGCAACTTAACCAGTGTTCTAAGAAGAGCTTTGTAATATAAACCAGTCAAACAAAGACTTCTGCCAAATTCAAGTGTAATTAAACCTAACTGCTGCATGTAAGGCATTACTTTAACTCTGAAGCCATAAAATCACCATCAAACAACATAGGGAGAAGGTTGTGTTTGATAATAAAGACAGAAGCTACACGAGTTTAATAAACAAATAGATAGTGCTGTCAACTCAGTCATTTCTAGAACATTGAAAATTGTCAGAAGGTAACTGATCAATGTTTAATCACAAAAACAGACCATGCCCAAACAGGAGCAGAGATATCTATTCAGACTTCAGAGTTCACTTTATGGTCATTGAGACCAAATGCTTTGCCAGCACAATCTTTTACAAACTTGAAGATGAAGAGAAAGCGCAAATAAGAGCTAAGATCTGCATTCATATTCATGTTCACTTCGTTGAAGCTGAAGCACAACTACTTATAAAGAAGAAGACCAGAAGAAGAAGAAGAGCTCAACACGGAGCCAAAGGTTTTTCTTTTCTTCGTTCTTATTTCAGCGAAGGATCGAATACTAAATTATTTTTCAATATTGGCCGGGCATTATCAGCCTTTTCTGTTTGGAAATAAGATACCAAATAATAAATATGAGCAGTAAATTCTACAACAACCATATAGTCAGGAGAAGCTGGAACAAATTTCTTTCCTCTTTCTTATTTTGGAAAGGATCGAAGTTTAGTTACTTTTATGCTATAATGAGCTTTTCTCTACGAAAATGAAACCTGTACTATTTTACAGGAGAATTAAATTCTAGAGAAGCTTAGTCACACCATTACCGACCCAACCTTGTTCCTAGGCAACATCAAATCAAAACCATAAATTCCGGCCCCATCAAAAATTAAATAAAAGTATAAGGGAACTGAGTTTCATGAATGGTTCAAATATCAGAATTGGAGCAGAAACAAGACAACCTAAATATGGTTTTTTAAAGATCTGTGAAGTATTAAATAGTCAAACGAGGAAAAAAAGGGCGTTTACCTTCCAAGTTCGATCAAAGCCGAGTTTATAAGCAAAAACGCTACCTCCAACCCAGCAGAGAAAACACATGAAAGCGGCCAAAGACCCAGATCTCTTATCCAAAAGTATGTAGAAAGCGCCATAAACCAAAGCCAACAAAAACCCAAAATTCAAAACGAGGCCATGATTGAACCCACAAGGGCATTTAGGCAAAGAGTAGAAGGAGGGGGTGAAGTAGAAGAGCATAAGGGCAGTGAAGAAAATTGGCCACACGAACAGGATATGAATGAAAACATTTGTTGGGTTGCTGTGATAAGCCCCATAGAATGCAAAATGCCTCTCCAAATCAAACAATCCGCGCCTACCCATGGAAACTTTTGTCGGGAATTTTGCCTAAGAATCAAACGAGAAATACAGAAGAAACAATGGAGAAAACTTGTCGCCGGAAACGGACGCGATAAACAAGTCGGGGGAGAATTGGGTTTTAAAGGAGGGATGAGGCTATTGGATTAAGAAAACCAGAGCACGCACATCGAAATATGTTTAATCGATGTGTGGCAACTGGGAATTGGGAATTGGCGGGTTTTAGACCTTTTTTGGGGCCGCGATGGAAATTTCACGACGGTATCCATATCGCGTAAACTCCTACTTAAGAGTTAAGACCGACGCGATAACGACGTAACTAATTTTCTTCTTAATTAATTTCTCCAAATAAAACTGTATATAATAAATAATTTAAGTAATTTGTTTTTAATTTCATGCTTATGTTTAATGGATTTGATAAAGACTAAAATGGTTTTTTTTTTCTAATCCTAAAAAAAATGGTATTTTTTAATTTTTATTTTGATTTTGCCCTTGATATTTTAAAATGTTATTTTATTAGAGTTTCTAAACTTTTAAAGTATTTATTGTTTTATTCAATTTTTACAAAAAGTTGTGGATGTTGTCTTAATTAGGTTTTTGTCCAATGGATAACGTGATTGATTTGTATTAACCTACCCATATGAGCATGTATTAGTGTGTCATATAGGTTATATAAGACTAAAATAGTTATTTAAAATATAAGAATCCAAGATTGAAATTAGTTTATAGATAAAACAAAATTTGAGAGTTGTACTTAAAAAATATATAAGGTTTAATGAATAAAATGATTTTTTTTTAAAGGTGATATAAAATGAGATTTAAACTATAAAAAAAATGAGCATAACTCAGTGGTAATTGACATATATTTCAACTAAGAGGTTATAAATTCGATCCCTCACCCGCACACGTTGATCTCGAAACAAAAAAAAATGATAATTATAATGAAATTGATTTTTTTAATACGATAAATTAAAATAGGAGCATGGAGATTCAAGTCTCCAATAAATACATGACAACTATTTCATATCGAAAAGAAAAAAAAGTATAGAATATTTAAAACTGCTGAATATAACATTTGCCTTGACAGTGATACCTCCAGGCTCCAACTTGGACCATTCTACTCACGTGAGGGTGGCAGTGGAACTTACATTTTTCTTTAATATATGGGAAGGGTTTGTTATGGGCTTATTTAGGTGGGCCAGCCGTCTAACTGGGTCAGGCCGACCCAATAACTTTAGTCATACGGCCCACTGGCCTTCTTTCGCACATAGCTCCACGGACATTACCATCTAAATAGTAATAAAATAATTATGGCAAAATAGTAAATATTACATTTAAAGTGAAAATACATGATTAAAGATTGTAAATACTTCAATTTTTGGTTTGTCAATAATTTAACACCGTAAATTAAAATGATATTTATTCTATATTTTTTTAATTATGCATTATAATTATTATTCAAAGTATTATATAACTTCCACCTTGAAAGAAGGGAGTAGAGGGTAATTACAGCAATATTCATRTTATCAAATCAATTCTTTCATTCGTTAAAGTTAAATATAAATTAAATTAAGATTATAACGTTTTTTGAAGTAACTTTTGCAAGCTCATGTCGAAGTTGGTTAAAACTTCTTCCAGCATTAACAAATATTAAGGGACGGATCCGTGTAGGGTCTAGGTGGCGTGTGCCTTTGAACTTGCATTAAATATAATATAGTTTACTTATTGATTAAATAATTAGGCTTTGGTTTGTTGGCAATATGCAAACATCCTTATTTAGAGGGTAATATTCTCAAATCTGTTCACTAACTTTTATACCGATATATATACAGCAACAATAAGTGAGCATGACCGACATGAGAAGAGAATTCTTAAATCAGATGTGGGGTCATGATGAGTTGGAATGTGTTCATCCACGTCAGTTCCACGATATAGGGGTATGTATGGGACCCACAAGTCTCAATTTTGTTTACAATAATAAATATTGGGTCACACGTGAGGCACATGTTTCGATATATATATTTTTTCAAGTTAAATTATCTAAACTTTAAAGTTAAAAAGAAAACATAAATCTGACACGACAGCCAACGGTGAAAATGGAGATACACTGCATAAGTGATTTTAATTATATCCTTAAAATTTGTGATAAATTTTAGTCATGTCTTTATTATTCGAAATTTTCAATTTAACCATTTTAACATTATTTTAAAACAACTATTTCAGTAAAGAATCAAGGTTGAAATATCATATCGTGGTGAATGGTAAAATAAAAGTTACYAGTGACAAAAARTTYGAATCACRTCTAAGYTGATACTCAGTAAAGAAGGTAATAAATTTATCAACCAACTAATGGTTTTTAGATTTGGTTATCTTGAATTTCTTAATTAGCCTTAATTTTTATCAATTGATTACATTAAGGGAGGATCCATATTTTGGCGTAGTTGGCTTACTCCATCAAAAATTTTGTTTTCTCATAAATGATATTTTATCATRATTTTTTAAATTATTTTCCTGACATCACAATATTTTTTATCGCACAACTTATGTACTTACCGCCCCATCTTATTTTTTGTTCTTGATTAATTTTAAAATTGAAAGATATAATTGAAAATTTTTAAACATTAAACCTATTTTGGGACACCTTTTTTTAGGATCGAGCGGAGCCTCCCTCGGCATTATTTCTTAACGTCAAATAAAGCGGGCGACGTCGGCGCAGCAAACTCCCAATCAAATTCCACTTCTGACCATAAAATTATATTTTATTTATTGAACTAATTATCTTTTTTTTTGGGTTAATTTAGACATTTAGTGTTATATAAATATGTATACTTTTTTCTTATTGCATTTAAGTTAAATATTAGGTATGAATGTGAACTTAGTTCATCSTTAATTAATATAAGCTTACTCTTTTGAGATTGGAGATTCAAATCTCTGCACCTACAATTTGTTGTACTAAAAAAAGTTAAATATTATGTTACTTTTTGAGAAAAAAAATAGGCTATTGATTTTTATATTTAAAATAAAGTTTTACCACACACATACGATGCCATTATAATATAAATTATCAAGTAATATTAATTTTTAATAAAATTAAAAAATACTTGACTCTTCAAAATAAGAAGTAACTTTGTCCATACACTAAACATTTGAAAACTCATTATTAAAAAAAAAAGTTTTATATTTCTCTCTTTTAATTGTCAAATATTTAATTATATTAAAGGACAAAATTCMTCCTTACTTTTGAAGAGTCAAATATTTTTCATAAAATTAGAAGGTTGAAGCTAAGAGAAAAAGATTGTGCAGGAGTTCGAAAATTCATTTATTTCCCAATCTCTTCCCASCCTAGAAATTGAAAGGTTCATTCTCTAGTTCTCACATAAAATAAGAGTATAAGAGTAGAGATCAATAATGATGTAATTAATAATTATTATTTCTTGTTATAGAAAGAATATTATTTCTTAAAAACAAGATTTTGATTTTGATTTTTTTTAATACAACAAGTAGGATGGGATAGACAGTTTGACGAGGTTGGAAGATGATTATTGGTGCTATGGAATGGCAACTTATAGAAAGACCTTTGGAATAAAAAAAAATACATAAATAAAAACAAAATAAACAGTTTCTTTTGATGTATTTATGGCCTTTTATCCTTTACATCTTTCTATTTCATTTTCTTCAACTTTTTATGAAGCTTTCGTCACCATCACATGTATTATTGATCGAAAAGAGACAAATAAGACGGCAATATTTTGTGAACCTCAAGTGTATTAAAAGAGATTCGAATTCACACTTTACATGTTTCAACAATCTTCAAGTAATTTCTCGAAATAAGATTTTCTTCTTGAATAATTGTAATTATTAAATAAGATTTTCGTTCCATCTTAAATAAATGGCTTCCTTTTTGCCCCTGGATTTGATGTTTAACGGCCAAGTAAAAATCTTCAACGGTGCTTTTACCAGATGGCAAGAAACGGATCAAAGTTATCTTTCAACGGTTAAAACTTCATATYGCAACTTCCATTTTTCCATGAGAAATCTGATTCTTTACTTCACATTTAAGAGAGAATTCAACGGCTGTGATGCTTCTGATAATGAAAGCAAGATTCAGACCATGTTCTCATTGAATCGAAATTGCTTTCAAAGTGAAACAGAGGAGAAAAAGTATGAGATGAGAAGAACTGAATCACAATCAAAAGCTTCATCTGTATTAAAAAACTGAAACAGACGACCAATTCCAGTTCTTCAACAGATTGGCAATACAGGCAGGGCAATGGGGCAAAGGCACACATTAAGAAAAATCAGAGGCCTTGCTTATGGGGGAAAAAACCCAATCCTCACTATGTACAAGAATCCCCAAAAAAAGAAAGAATTCAGCTAAACAAATACAAAAACAGGGAGTAACTTTTTCCTCCACAGCTAATAATTCTTTCAATCTTCTTGTTCTTGGTGCCATTCATGGCTTCAGACCTTCAGAATCAGGTTATCTTCCAGGAGTTCCATTTTATTGCCCCAAGAACCATAAAAATCCATGTCTCTCATCACTAGATCCTTCAATGTTCCTTCCTTGGAATATGGTGATGGCGGCCTTAATGATAATTCACCTGCTGAAGCTAACCGTTCGAGCTCGGATTCGTCTAATCCTCTAGCTGGAACGATGCTGCATCGATCAGTGCCGTGTTTAGCCAATGCATCCTTGAATTTCTTGATCTGCAATGCAATAATGGGAGTTACTAGTTAGACTCTGGCCAGGCTATGAAAATTCCTTTCTTGTTTCTAAAAAATTGAAAAGCTGGGGCTTCTTCTTACAGTTGCATTTGTGCAGCTAAAGCTGCAAACGCGGCCTTCTCCACCTCTGTAGAACCTGAAGAAAGGAAGAACACGAATATGGAGAGCTTGGCACATGGTTTTGAGCTCCTCAAAGTTAACTTTGAGAAAAATTGCATCTGGGTTCGATTCAGCCAGTTGACAGATCTGATACAGAAATGGGTTTGATCAGCAACATCCTCAAATCCAAGTTCAAAATTGATCCCTAATATATCAGAAATTTATACAAGCTRAAACCCATTTAGCAACAAAATGATACCTTAGGATGAAGGGCTTTGCAGCCTCCACAGCCAGGGGAATAGAAGTCAATAATGGCCAATCTATCACCAGCATCAATTAATGCATCCACGAGGGCTTGGGCAGAGCGGATCTCCACCATATTAGGTTTCAAGGTCTTCTCCCACCATCGCTGAGCTCGGCTTATGCAGATAGATGCCTGTGCCTGAAACCACAAACAAATTTACACATCCAATTTCAGACCCAAGACATTACCAAGAAACAGTAAATCTTCCCAAGAGAGAAAAAAAAAAAAAAGAAAGAAAGAAAGGGCGTACCTTAATGGTCAGGCTATTTAGGGCTTTGGTGGGGTTGGAGTTTCTGAAGCCATTTTGATCCGAGATTATGACTTCAGGTTTTCCCAAGAAATCAACGGTCAAAACAGGAAACGGCGGCTGATTCGACCCTCTGAACTGAGAGGCAGAAATAGAAGTAGAACAAAACCCAGAAACCCCAGAGGATTTGGGATTGGAGTAACGCAAATATTCGTTAAGCCCTGAAACACAGAGACCAATCTTCAAGGAAGAAGCCATGGCGCAGGGAAATCAGACGGCGGCAACCCAGAGACTAAAAAGCACAAAATCGAAGAACCCCACAAATTTCGAATGCCCAAAACTTCAATCTTGGAAAACCAAGGAAATCCCTCAAGACCAAGCAGCAAAAGCAAGAAACCCAACCCACCTGTGATCTCTCAAGCGTCAACCAAAAGTGCAAACGATAGAACAGAAGAAATGAGGAAGACGTGGAGGTTTCTTWCACCTGAATAAAAGCTGGGAAATGGGGGAAGGAAAACCAGGAGGAAGAGGAAGACATATAAAGAAAAAAAGCCRAGTGGGGCAGTCCGAATCGGATTAAAGTTTATCCATTTGAATAGAAACGGAACGGGGTTTGAGAAATTGAGATTCCGTATATGGGTGGAGGGTTTTTCAGATAATTAGAGGATTGATTTCTATATTACAGGCTGAATTATTGAGAATTAGGTGTGGTTTATGAGGATAGAACGGGAATATCGCGTAGCTCCAGTTTCAAGTTTAATCTTTTGGAATTTTTTTTGGATAAGGATTCTTTCTTTTCTTTGCCAAAACAGACACATCGTACTCCCACATTGCAGTTTTGAGTTTTCACGTATTTGCCCTCTCAAATTACTCTTTTGCCCCCCTTCCCTGACTTCACCCATTTTAAAATTAGAGCATACGTCTAGTTGATTCCAGCTAGATGTAGATGCGTAATTACGCTTTTGCCCAATTGTAAGAAATCATCCTCTCTCTGAAACATCACATGCCCATGGGGGCTGTCTTGGATTATTTTAAAATGTAAACCTCTACTTTAAGAAAAACAAATAATGATTATGTATTAACAATGAAGATGTATTTTTAATTTCAGTAATTTTTTTTTTCTTCCAAACATGAACAAGTAAATAATCCATTTTGATTCCCTAAAAAAAAATCATTTTTGGTAGTCTCCAATAAGAATATATATTATTATATTTTGAAAACAAATTATTGGTAGGGTTTGGTAGGTAGTACAATGAAACAAAAGGATCTCATATTTAGTTCAATTTTTGTAGTTTGTTCCTCTACTTCTTAAAACTTTTAAATTTGTTCTATTTTCGCTTATTAAATTTGAAAATAAATATTTTAGTTCTTATCTAAAAAATGTCAGCTAAATTCTGTTGGAATTGTTGATAGTTAAGTGGGTATAGTAAAAAAATAATGGCAATCAGAAGATGAAATATGCTTTTAGAAGACATTAAATGAGGTGGGGGATGGTTTGAAACAAAAGGCAAAATATATTGTGTTTGGGGTTTTCCGTTTTGGTGATAATTAATTAGCAAAGCAAAGGCCAAAGGGAGCAGTAGAAGAGAAGGGAAAAATGTCCCTACTGGTTTTGGCAGACACTGAAAGTTGTATTGTAGGCTGTAACCCACAGATTTTTGGTACGTCTCATGTTTCATCATAATCATCATATATTATATATTTATATATTTATATATTTTGCATGTGACATATTTTTTGTAAGAGAAGAAAAAGTATAATAYAAAGCCCATTGGTTTTGTTTTGTTTGGTTTTTATGATCAACTCATCGGGTTTTCCAATTCACATTTCGCCTTGTCAGTGGAGAAATTCGATGAAAAGATTCAATTGAAAGCTGGATTTCAAATATTAGGACATGGGATACCTCTCTTTTTCGTCCATTATCTTCTTGTATGTTGACAAGGAGCCTGTCAAGGAGGTTTCTAAGTCTGATTTTTTCATGGTTGTAGTTGACAGATTTTCTTTCGTGGCTTATTTTGAAAATATAGTAATGTTGTCATTTATTCAAATTTTAAATTTAATAGGATTAAAACGATAAATTTAACATTGACTTAGCTGGAGAATAAAGCATATGTTTTAAAAAGTAAAAAATAATTAAAAAAAAAAAGAAAACAGTAAGAGGATAATTTCGTAGGTTTAACAAAGGTTATGAGATTATTGTTTAAAAAAAAGAAGTTATGAGATTAGATTTAATTTGCTAGCTAGCTAGGTTCTATTTTCATTGTGTTCGTACATAGCACATGTCACGAACAATGGATGGCCAGGCCTTGAGAGTGAGACATCAAAAAGGTTTGATTAAGACAAAAATCATAAATTCACACTTTTTATTTATTTATTTAATTTTTTTTTTTACCAACAATGATTGAACATGTATCGGGAGGAGAATTTGGTCATTTCATTTTCAATAATTAGTTAATAAACCAACCAAATCCATATGAGATCCATTATATCTCATCAATAAAACAATAAATCAACCGTGCCTTTACCATTATTGTTAAACTTACTTCCATTTGTATTGTTCATGGCGTCTTTCATTGGTTCTAAGTTGCTAGCATTGATAATTGATTTTATCTGTAGGTCGAATTCGCCTCCGAACGTCTTTCGTACCAACTAGAGGGCGTGACTCATAGAACAGTCTCAAGAAGACTTCTTCGTATTGGTGAAATGAAACTCTATGGTCYAGAGGTGAATAGAGAAGAAAAGGTAGTTAGGRGAGTAAAGGGACTTCTACYAGATTATGAAATACGTTATAAATTCAACTTAGAATAACATTTTTTGTTTACTAAAAAAGAACTTTTTTTCTTGAATAGAGTTTATTTTTCTTTCTATATGCACAACGCGTAGAAGGACGATGGAGTTTTAGTGAGCATAGGTTATAGTTTATTTTTCAAAAGAGACTTATYCAATTTAAGATCCAAATCGGTGCACTAGAGCAGCACTCCTCTCCCAATGTAAGGAGATAAAACCCTAACTACACAATTGTGGTAGTATAGCAAAAATTTCATTTTTTTTTTCCAATTCAAAGAGGGTATAAYTTTTGCACTTATGTGGAATTTTATGCACTACGCTTGCTTAAGTATATACTTACAAAGTTGAAAATTTGCATCTTCATATTTCTCTTTTTTTTTATTACTCGGGAGTCAGCGATCCTT